TGATAAATATATAAGTGGCTGAGATTGAATTTTGTTTTGAGGAGTAACAGTTTAGGGAAAAATACATAATCTGGTTATTGCCTCTAAATTTGGTCACTTTCATCTTTCTTCTTTTGCTTCAACAAATTGTGTCAAACTCAGCCAAACAAGGCTGGCTTTTAACTTTGAGAGGCAAAAAGTTATCTCATTACATTGTCAGAAATATGCTACTACACCATCCATCTTTCATCTGCCCAAATATGTCTAGTCGCACACATTATTGGTGCTACTACTGAAATGCATGCACATCACCTAAATGTGCTCACATTCACTGTTTGGTCTCTGGAAACATTCATTACGCATCAAGGAATGTTGATGAGTGGATGAAAGACTGCAGTGACATATTCTGTTTTGAAAGTGCATTTTACCAAACTGCAGCTCACCTGCTATTTGCAACAAACCCGCAAAAAACAAATACCACCCCCTGGAAAAAAAACCCAACAAAATACTGCATTATTGGTGGAAATAACAATAACATCTGTTGCCATATCTGCATCTGTCATGGGCCTACATAATTAAAGAGGAGGCTTTACTTTTGGAGCACCCCTCATTTATAGAGCTGTACCATTTGCATTTGTATATCCATTAATTAGGTCTTATTGGAAAGTAGAATAAACAAGGTTTACAGAAATAGAATTTTTTTTTTTTTTTTCATTGAACGCCAATGGATTGAATACTGTAAAGAGATCGATTTTGTATTTTTACATTATTTTGTGTCATAGAAATTGTGATAGTCAAAAAGGGAAAAATAAGAAAATAAATTGAATTTTAAAGTTTTACAAATTTCATGATTTTTTTTTTTTTTTGAAAATCTTTTCAATTTCTTTGATGGTTAACAATTCGTAACATATTAGTTCAAACAAGAAATAAATTAAATTTTACAATAGCCAAGAAATTTAGTCTTGTGACTTTCTTAATCTATTTTTAGTAGCCTCCAAAAATATACACAGTAGATACTTACCTAAAAAGCAAATCAAACATTTTTATTATAAATAATTATATAATGAAGATGATAAAGCATTAAATCTTCATTTTGAAATGACATTGTAGTAATAAAATAAAAGATGAGAAAATAGCAAAGGAGAGGTTCAATTGCAAAAGTCATAAAAATCAGTCTTGAAAGTCCAATGTTATAAATCAAAAGACAAAAATCTGTAGCCACAACTTTCAACAAAAAACTACCTTCTTCACTCATGAAGAAACAAGAATCTTGGTTATTTACCCACTGACCCATGCTGGCAGGATGCAACGTAAGGTCAATTTAATGCAGGGCACCCAAGCATGTGCAACACTGGTCAGGAAAAAAAAAAAAAAATTGCCCAACCACTGCAACAATTGGTTGTGCTGGTGTTGCTATTACTACCAACCCACACTATTTAATGCAATGATGGAGGTACTGCTATGGGCAGCGGTTCCCTGTGACCAAGCACCTCTCAATATTTTTCCAGTTGTACTGTGCCCAAAGATGGAGATGCAACTGAGAAATGACCAGAGTAAACATCACAGCTTCAGGAGGATCTCCTAAAAAACCAAGAGTCTCACTTCTGTTGTCTAAAGTAGCATTCTTTTATTGGGGGTAAGAAAGGTTGTGATTGGTCAAGACTGGTAGGGAAGCATAAATAATTACTATATTTTGAGGCCTACTAAAATCAACCCGACCTCTATTCTGATTTTTACAGCACAGAAAAAAAAAAAAACACATTCTTTTTGGTGGTAAGACTTGGTTTTCTCCTTTGTTGTCACATAAAGACAAAAATCATTTCTTGCATTATTTTTCAATAATTTCTGAATATTAAACTCAAATAAAATTCTATTGAATAACGATGATTTCTGTGTAACATGGAAACATGACAATTTGTGATATAGAAATACATTATGCACACAAAAACTATTCATGTATATGTATAAATGTTGTGTTTTATAGATAACTATTAACTTGTTATATTAATTGTATGTTGGCAAAACAAAGAAAAAACAATGAAGGTTTAAAGAAATAAACAATTGTATCAACGTAAAATACAACAAATGATAGTTCGGTGTAAATGTCTCTTGTTGAATAAAAGAAGATTAATGGAGTTGTAAAAGGCATCAGTAGAGGCATGCAGTAGGAGAGGGGGGATGAGGTGTGACTTATTAAGATGATGGCCTTTGGCAAATTGTCTCTTGGAGAGGGGAGGTTGCTTTCTAAAGAAGTCTGTGAACCCAGACCAAGATGCTATCCAACTACCAAAAATGTACCTTTGATGGGTTTTTATGTCCTTTCATAGGCTCAGATCAGCCCCAGTTTTTTATTTTGTTTCTTTAGGTGGAGTGGCCTCAAAATATATTAAATGTTCATACTTCCCTATTGGTCTTAACCAATCACAAGCTTTCTTACCCACAATAAAAGAATGTTACTTTGGACAATAGGCAGATTGCTTGGTTCTTTGTGAGTGAAGAAGGTAGTTGTGGCTTGCGAGTTGTGATGTGGATTTTTTTTAACCTTTTCATTTATGCTCACATTTTCTGACATTAGATTTGTGAGACTGATTTATGACCCTTGCAATTGCGACCGAACTTTTGGGATCTGAACCTCCCGATTGATTTATCACACAAACTAGTTTCATTCCTTAGTAATGAGATATTCCATTGTTATGAGGATGTTTGATTCAAGTGGTGTTGAGTAATGTATATACCATTATACTTTTGTACCAAATACATGTACCACCTGAATGAATCATGGTGGTGGGAATTTTTTGGCATAAAATAAGTGTGGAATTTTTTATTCCTGAAACAAAATAATTGTTATGATATTGCAAGTAGGGATTGCAGTTGAAAGCAGTCAACATTGGTTCTACAGTCCAAGTACCCTTGCTACTATCTTACATAATGAGCTTATATATAACATCTAATCATACATATATGCTAATTAGTGGTAGCACAATAACCATGCTGTAGAGAATGCTAAAAATAATAAGCATGCTATGCTGGGAGTTTTGGTGGTGATGGTGGTAGTAAGGAATTGAAGGAAATAATTTAATCATGCTGGCACTTATATTTGTTATAAAAAAGATTTGAGTGAAACCAAATTGTGCGAAACACAGAGACACACACACAATCTCGAGATTGTTAAAGTTGTTAGAGTTGCTTCTAAGAAAGTTTGTATTTATTTCTGAGGAACAGCTTATCTCTATCATTAAACACAGCCTATTAAGGCAGCAATCCTTCACTGTTTTATCAAATAGATACACAGAGAATATCTATGAATTCTTTCGGAGAGTGTTTTCTGGTGCCATTTCATATCAGGTGGATCAGGTACTTCTTGAAATTATCTTATATCCTGAGTTCTTTTGATCAGCATTTAAAAAATTATTAAAAATTTCAGAAGCCTTTTACATCAAAGACTGGCAACTCATCATCAATAAAAATTGTTTCAATTGAGGCGTCACATAAGTTAAAATGCCACTCAACCATAAAGTCATTTCAGCTACATGATGCTAAAATCTCTTCCACAGCCGTAGCTTGTTAATCTACATTCATTTCAAACTTTAAATTATTAACAACATAGTGTCTATGTACCAACTTTCTATCTTCTTTCCTTGCAAATGACCAATGATAGTCAAACAAACAACAGTGAGTTCTTTCACTCGGAATGAAATAACTCATTTGACACAAGGAAAAACTCACCAAAATGCTTAACGGACACTCCCAGTTGATTCTATTTAATATTAGCAGCCATAGCCAGCTGGTCAATCAGAAAAAGCATTCAATTAGAATGGAGCAAAAACAGCATCATGTTTATATGTAACAGAGTCTATCTTCTTCAATTACTTTAAAGTACTTTCATTAAAAAACATTTTGAATTAATGCAGTTACTGATATAACAGAAGTAGTCTGTATTTATTCAATCAAAGTTAGCCAAGGACATGAAGAGGTAAAACAGGCAACATGAAGACCCACCTGAGACCACAATTATTTTGGAGGTTTTGCAATCCAATTCATCAATGTGCTACCAGGGATGTGAAAGAGGGTACATTTATAAAGCAATTGCTAAGTTTGATGAAAATTGGTTGAAAGATCAATGAAAAATAAGAAAGAAACCAGTAAAAATCGCCATTTTTTACTATTTATGTGGATTTTCATTATGTGGGTGGACTCACTTATCAAGTTAAAAGACTGTTTTACAATCAACTTATTGTTTGCTACAATTGATTGAAGATTGTATTAGATTGTCTGAAAATTGAGGGAGTTTTTAGTTTAAAATTTGTGTTGAAATTGATTTTTCATCTTTTGCATTTTTTTGCTAAACAGTGGTGTAGAAATAAAAATGACACATCATTGAGCTTGTCATGATGTAAATAACCCACATACAGAGCTTAAACAAAATGAGAGGAAAAAAGTTGAATTTATCGATTTTTGATCGACTTTATAGATTATTGATTTTTTCCAAAAACTATTGATTTTTTAACGCTAAGAACCTATCTTTTACACTGTACAATGTAAGTGCCAAGTTTGGTCAAAATCAATTGGATGAATCTTGAGTGAAAAGGTATCACACAGGCAGACACACAGATATCCTCTGTTTTATATATATATATATATATATATATATATATATATAGATAGATAGATAGATAGATAGATAGATAGATCATGGTAAAATGTTTACTCTAATTTTGATTATGCATTTAATATAATATGAAGTTTGTTATGCTTAGTTCTCTTTCTCATTTACCCTTTCTTAAGTTTTTGCTCTTTGCTAAGAGACTGCATTGATGAGAAACTCAGCATTTCTCTTGGGTCTTTTACAAGGTGTGTCAAGTGACCATTTTTTTAAACTTCTCCTTTGGTTAACCAACATTTTCTTCTTTGTCAGTCTTATGGCAGTATCTTTTGAACAATCAAGTTCATTAGGTGAAGAAACATGAAGAAAAAATGAATAGAATTAAGGTAGAAAAGAAAGTAAATAGACAAAATCATACCTGGATCTAGCTTCCCTGGTTGTAATTGCAGGTAGAGCGCTGGCAGTAGATGAAGCAAACGAACCTTGTGAAAATGTCTCTAGACTGCCCCTATTAATTTGATGAGTACTGAACAATGGTTCTGATTTGTAGGCAGTCCGTAAAGTTTTAGAGGAAAAGTTGCGATTAAAAGGAGGCAGAGAACTGACCGATGTGAGTGGAGGTAAGCGGGGTGAAGTGGTGGCAGGAAGTGACCGTACAGTCCATGTACTGCCAACCTGATCGACTAAATACTGATCTGAAACATCAGAGTCATAATGATAGCTGCTGAGGCCAGATGAAGATGGCTGTTCACTTGGTAGTTCCATATGGCTACTGTTCAGTTTTGCCTTGTGGTGGTCATCAGTTGAACCTGCTTGAAATAGATCCTGCTGATCATTTGCATGTGTAGCATTAGTTTCATCCAAAGAATCAGGTTGGCCATGGTTGGATATTGCTCTGGGTAAAGGGCGGGTCTTTCGAGGTATGATAGGAGGTTTAGGCTGAAAAGGACTAGACTTTATTGATTTTACCGAGTCACTGTCTTCAGCAGCAATTCGGAAACGGTGAAGACTGATGTCAGAGTTAGATCTTCGAAGTCCAGGCTCTTTAGGTTTGGCAGCACTTTTTGACAGCATCTCCCTGCTTGCTTCCATCTGTTGGGATTGCTTTGTAGTTTTGGGTAGAGTAACTGCAGGCAATTCCTGTTTAATATCGTTCTCTAAAGAACCTTGCTTCACCCTTTCTAAATTACAGTCTGATTTCATCTTGAAGACAGGTGGCTCAAAGCTCACATTAGTTAAAATGACATTCTTATCTTCTCCAGGTAAATGTTTATCTATGCTGGTTAATTCTTGTCTGGCTATGGAACCTGACAAACGTGCCATATTTGCTGACCCATTGTCACTATTTGGGTTAGGTAAAGAGTCTTCTTGCTTCTTTCCTGTAAGGTTAGTCAAGGTCCCTTTCTTCCTGGGGTAGGCACTTGGTGTCGATGGTGGTGTGACAGACATATCAGGGTTAGAGCAAACTTTCTCTGTAATTACCATAATTGTCATATTGCTCTTAAAGGTTGCATGACAAACAACAACAACCTGGAGTTAATCTTTAAAAGTGTTCGGCATAAGCAGCTTGGAGACGGCTTCAAGCAATGAAGTCTGAAAGATGAACAAAGACAAAAATAAATATTAAGAGCAGATACAACCTAGATTTATTTTAGATTTGATGACATACTCTTTCAGAGTTGGAAGTGATAAAAGGTTTTCTAATTTAAGTCTTAAACATTAACATCCTCAAAATTTATACAAGATGAGAGAATATTTTTTAGATGCAATATGAACTGTTTTCTTCTTAATTCTTCTTTTGTTGTCCTCTCTCTCCTTAATAGTAGTTTTTCTCATATTCTCTAACATTCAGTAACCGTTTGCATCCTAGTGGCTTTATTACCTTGCTTGGAGTGAAATGATTAAAAAAAAAAAAAAAAAAGAACATTTACAATTACCATTCAGCTGAAATATCCTATGAAAGCTAATTTAGAACAATAATCAATTTAAACAGTTTTATTTGATAATTATGAATATAAATCTATTTAAATTGTTTGTAAATGCCATAGAGAAGATGTGGCAAATAGAGTAATGGCTATCAGCATGAAAAGTGGAATTGGTGAGCTATGTTCAAATTCTGGGTTAGTCTGTTGTGTTTACTTTTATACTAATGCCTTTGGTGAAGGCTTTAATACACCCAACCTACGTTATGGGTTAAATAGCACTATAGATGGATCTATCTTTAGGAGGCTACCAATTTAAGAGAAGGAGAAGTCTGAATTCAAACTGTAGAGAAGACAATGGGAAACCACTTCACTATCCCAAGAAGTTATAATAATTAAAAATTAAAAAAAAAGGAATCTGTGGAGAGCCATGATTGCCTGTATTATTAACAAACAATAAAAAAAATGGAGATTTCCTTTTATTTATATTGTCTTATCAAGCATCTCACAACAGCAAGTCATGCCTTTGATGCATAATGAATTAGGATGTCAAGGTCACAAAAAAGCGGGAAAATAAATCTTTAATAATTTAAATGTAATTGCTTTAGTATTTTACAATTGTTTCAGCTTTTTAAATGAAGTTCAATCATCACTTGAAGGATTTTAAGTTATGATCAGATCTCATTTAAAAAGAAAATCTCAAACTATGACACAGAAAATATTCTCAGTTTGGTTGTCATAGAAAAACAAATACAATCTTTATAAAATATGAGAGACACTAAAGAACAAAAAATACTAATCTAAAAAGTGAAGACTAAGTTTACTTGAAAAAGAATGACTATCAAATGATAAGTTTAAGTAACTGAAGACATTTTGGTAAATTAACTGATCAAAACATTGATTTTGAGAACAGCTAAAAGAATATGAACTCTAGGAAAAATACACCTTTAAGTCATCAATCCAATTTAAAAAAGTTTAAATTTCTCTGTTATCTTACTTGTAAATCATGAGAGTAATTCAATCTTTGAATTTATCAATGGATTCCTTTTAACAACACCAAATCTGAAAAAAGCTAAGACTGTGATAAAATTAAGTAAAAAATTAAGATGAAATTAAACACAAGTGAAATAATTATTAACAATGATTATTATTATTGCTGGTGGCAATGTTTATAAAAGTTAAAGTGAATTTGCACAATCATTTTGACACTAAAAATGAGAATTTGGATTCCTTTTTCTTTACTGATATCTAGGAACATTTTTATCACTATTTGCCATTCGGCCAAACGGATTTATTTTACCAAAAAAAACTGCTGTATTTTTTAGTGTAGAAGACGCACTTTTGTAGTGCAAATATTGTATTTTTGTATGAAATTATGGGTGCGTCTTCTTATATTCGGAAAAAAAATATATTGTATTTTTGACCATTTTTCTAGATAGAACAATGTTCATCAAACTATCTTTCCTAATAGTCGCATTATCCTGTGGGATAAGTTATACAAAAAATAAAAATAAATAAAAAAAAAAAAAGGATGTGGACGAGTGAGGATGGCGCAAACATTTCGTTCGCTTTCGATCTATACTTTATTCTTTGATCTTTATTCTTTATCATCCGTAAATATTTTACGGACATTGTCCGTAGGGAAGAGAAGGAAGAGAATAACATTTTTTGCCTTTGGTGACTTTTCTGCGGCCAGAGTGTCTGTAAATTGGATATTTTGTGATTCTAAGGGACAAGATGCATAACTTGACAATTAAATAAAATTAAACAACAGAAAATTGAACAAAGAAAAAAAATGTGATGACTGATTTTAAAACTCAAGCGCTCTTTTACCACAGAAGTAAAAAAATCCTTTGAAACATATTTTTCACAACACAACGATGGCTGCTTACTTTTAAAATTAAATAAAATGACTGAACAAAAAAAAATATTTTGGACCAAAAAGAAAAATTAATAATTATTAAATATTTCTTTCTTTAAGACAGCTAATGCTAAATAGAGTGACACATTTTTCAATATTTTATTATTTCGCCTATGTTTAACTTTATTTAAAAATTAAAAAAAGAAAGTAGTGTAAACTTTGACAAATTTGAAAAAAAAGACTTAGTGTTATATTTCAATGTTTTCTCTATTATTAAAAAACAATAATCAGATAAAAATGCATTAAAATAAGAGAGATCAAAAAGACCAGGAATAAAGTACGAATTTTAAAATAAAAATATTTTTTGGACTTTGGTCAACAAAAATTCTTCTTAAACATCGATTTTTTTTTTTGTCAAGACCTTATTGTGAAAATCATTTTTTAAGACTTTTTTAAAAGTACATTTTCAAATATTTCAAAAGTACATCTTTAATTTATTTTTGAAAAGAACAATTGACGCTAAAATAAAAATATCATCTATTGAGTTTTTAATTAAAATTAAGTTTTTACATTAAAACTTAAAACTTTTTTTGTCTCTACAACTCACATTTTGTTGCAAAAAAACATATCGAAGGAAAAAAACGTCACGTCTTTATATTTAAAGAAAATGTCTCTACCTTTTTGCTTTTTGGTCACCATAGAGGCTTGTTGACACCTGCAGTCAGTGAAGATGACTATAAAAAGATAATGCATCACTTTTTCTTTCTCTTCTTAATTTTTATCGTCCGTTGCTCTGCACTAACAACCAAAACATAAACACTTCATAAACATCCGTTTCCAACAACGCTAAGCCACGCCGCCATGTTTAATTAGCAACATGCGCACTCATTACTTCCGGTCACAAATATTGCGAGCGTGTTGCTTAAATTGTTTGTGTGATTATGGAAACTTGACTCCACATTTTCATTGATAAAATGACTATTTTTTTTTAAATCCTATATTTTATTATGTGAACGAAACTTTAGACATGCAAAAAGAGTCTAATGAACTGAAGTAGGTCGATTGTCTTACTCTTGTCTTGTACCAATCTTTCGAGTGCTTTGGTTAAACAATGACCAGTGCTTATCTTTCAGGTATCAAGCAGATTTTACTGATGAAAATGTCCAATTTTGGATACAACATACACAGTTTAATCTAGTTTAAACCCCCTAAGAAAAGTAATGGGATGTTTGGAAAGAGAGAGTAAATATCTTGCATTTCTCCACTCTCCAAGTCCCACTAGACATTTATGTTGAAGATGATAGGGATGTCGATAAAGTGTAAATGTAAAACTTTTTTATTTTCCAGAAATTGTTTAAGTTTTTTGTAAAAACTGTTTTTCCTTTTTACAACAGGGGATAGGCAATACGCAGGAAGGTTTCTATGACTTTGACTAGAACTATTACATCTGGTTGCTACTTGTATTATCACATGGACTACTTAAACTCTGACTACATGATATGTTGTCTTTTCATTTATACCTCGCTCAGCTCAGTTTTAAAAAGTGTATTAAATTTATAACTACATATTTAACAACTTTGCAGATTAATAATTTGATATAGATTTTAAATGCTGTGTAAATTTTATCTTTCTCGGTAAAATGGAAGTTAATTAAATTTATTTTAAGTTGGTATCCACTAAGTAGGAATATCATATTTTATTAATAATTTCCAATAGAAAGATGTTTTTATTTTGTCTGAAACTGATTAACAGAATAAGTTTATATATATGTCTGCCATAATTTGAATTTTTTCATTTGTTCCTTTTACCAAATCTTAATTTATACAGATTTTTTAAAGTTTTTCTTTACAAACACAACATATCATACATCATACACTAACACTTTAAGACAGTAGAAGGAAGGATGAGTATAACTCAAAGAAATTAATTTCCAAAATGTGTTATGCATGAAAACATTTTATATTGCCGGAGTTAGCTCCTCCTTAGTTCCTTAATCCTTCACCAGGGGTCTCTCTCTCCTTGCTATAAATACTGGGTGACCTTTTGCCTCGATCTCTCTTTTCCCCTCAGGTCTTGGGCCGTATCCATCCTGCGTGGAGGTGAGGTAATTCTTTCTCTTCTTCATTTCAGCTAATACCAATATGTGGGCTCTCACCAATACAGCGTTTCCCAAATTCTGGGAGCATGCTAAGAACAATACCAATACATGTATGTATGAACACTCACCACAATACACACACATAATATTCACCACACAAACTCAATGTAACTGTCCATGTGCTTGTAACTTGTTGTTAATACATATATTTGTTTATATATAATTATTGGTCTTGTTTGTTTTCTTTGGACTTAATTAAAGTCCAACATTCTCATGTAGCTGGACTGGCTAGCAGGAAATTTTAACCCACGTGTGTTCTTTACATCTACACCCCACGGTCCTCTACAATATACAACACCAAAGTACACAAATATAAATCATACTAAAATCAGAAATATACTAGTAGGACCTATGTAAATTAGATGGATTTACTAATAAATTTTTTCATACTGCGCTGTACTTTTCAACCCATGACCATTTTCAGATAGTTATGACAAAAGGTGACATAGTCTCCTTTGTAGGAGAAACTAGCATTTGATCTGGTGTACTTGAAAAGGGTAAATAGAACATTGCTGCTATGGCTGAGTGGTTGAAAGCACACCGGATCAGACAGGGGTTTTTCCTACAAAAGGTAATGTAGGTTTGAACCCTGCCAGAGTGCACATTTTCTGTATAATGTTTGATATATGGTGGACTCTCCCATTCATGTCGTGTTCAACATATGAAGGTCAAGCTGCTCAGTTCCTAAGAACTGATAGCCAGACACTAGCACATATGATTTGATTATAGTGGTGAAGGCTTTGTGACTTTTTGAAGGGCTGAATACAGAAACCTGGTGCACTACGTGCCACAAGGTCCCTAAATGACCTCCACAGGTTTTGAATTCAGAGTTCTCCTACTCCTAGACCAGTTGCCATCCAAGGCTATAGAACCCAGTCTGTCCTGCTATTTACCCAAAGCTGGAGGGAGAAGTGGATTAATATCTTTCTCAAGGGTATTAGCATGTAAGTGAATGTAATGGATTCAACTGGAATTCAAACTCGGCTCTCCGATTCCTCAATTTGAGACACTATCCACTACAGCACCGTGCCTCCTTTGATATATATATATATATATATATATATATATATATATATATATATATATATAGAACTGTCTTAACACGAGGGCCCAATAGGCACTTGCCTGGGAGCCTCACAAGCATAGGGGCCTCATGCTAATCTGCGTATGTTAATGTAACTTTTGTTACAAAATGGATAAACTTTTTAATTGTGCAAGTTGAGAAAAATGTGTAATATAGTTTTGCAGACATATACATAGATAAGGCTAAATCAGTGCCAGACACCTGAGCTGTGACACTACGCTAGATCTAGGTCTTGTCTGGTAGTTTTGTGAATCATCACACAGTAGAGAGTTTTTATTAAGTATAAATACTGTTTGTACAATTAAGGAAAGGACATGTTCATTATGGAAGTAGAATGTTTAAATATTTAGGTCTTGTCACATATATATATATATATATATATATATATATATATATATATATATATATATATATATATATTTGTAGGTCTGATGAATTGGATCATGATTACGATTCCAATGTAATGAATTATAACCATGAATATTAGTGTTTGAGCCTTTTATACTATATACTTGCTCTGTATTGTACATTGAGCTCTAACTGGATTTTATCCTCTTGGAAATATATATATATATATATATATATATTGAACACTAACATATATATATATATATATATATATATATATATATATATATATATATATATATATATATATATATATATATATATATATATATATATATATATATATATATATATATATATATATCCTGACGGGAACTAAATATTTAAGATTTCAGGTGAATAATCCTTTCAACAGAAATGAAACGTAATGTTTTGAGGGAGCACAGAAGAAGAATAAGAGAGCTGCAGAGGAGAAGGAGGAAGTAGGAAAACTTCCAAAATTAACATCGTGGCTCAACACAGGTGCAATGAGAGCCACTCATACCATTCCTTCAGATATAGCATCCACATCTACATCCATTCCTACTACCAATTATCCAGTTTGTCATGGGCCGGTGTATTCGTTGAGAGATAAATACATGTCACCTGAAATGGCAGACTCAGGATGTAACTCCACATAAAGAAATGTAAATAAACAACAGGAACTGATATATATATATATGTACAAACTAACGATAATATATTGACAATAAAGGGTTACATTTGATGAAGCCAAAGATGTGAGAAAACCATTTTGGTCCAAAGTATGTGTAGTGGTTGAATGTTTGTATGTACATGTGTGTGTATGTATTGTTCATGCATTTCCCAAAGGGAATGCGTTCTCCATGAAAGATTTACATGTTGACGAGTAAGAAGTAAAATAAGAAGAGGACGATAAAAATATTGCAGAATATTTATAGTCCTGAGAACGCCTCCTAGTAGCAGTTTCGAAAATTAGGAGGAGGTAACCCAATTAGTTTCAGTAGACTTACCATCATTGCCTGCTGCTGCTAGTGACATTTTATAAAAGGAAATATCCAAATATGTAACTTTAAAGGAGTTTGTAATCCAAGAGACAGATCTGGGGTTATGGAACATTAATAATACTAACATAATAGATTACTGGATTTATAGTGGGCCCTCATCATATCAGAATTATGACAGCAACCTTTCAAAATCATGCAGAATGTATAAAACAGCTGGAGTAGAGAATATGAAGGCAAGGTATTTATCAAACAATGTGTTCAAACGTGAACTGTGGAATGGCTAATGTGTAAAATGTGAATGGCTACTCTATTCACCATCCTAAGGTCATTTCTACTGTTTTGTATATCACCTATTGTACAAGAAAGAATCTCCCTTTGCTACAGTAGAGTTCAATGACTGGAATTACAGCAATGATATTATAGAACATGAAAATGGAGATCAACATCAAAAGTGCATGATAGCATATTTGATAAGACATAAAGAAACTTAAAGTGTAGATTCTTTATTACTTGGTAGCACTCAGGAGAAAGTCTATTTTGGTTTGGTAGTGGATAGTTCGAAATCAGAACTTGGTAACAGTAGTAGTCATCTTAAAAAATAGGTGTCGGCATCAATATGCTGTATTTTTTTGGCCTTAAGAAGGGCAAAAAATTTCTTAAGCAGATGGTTTCTTAACTTCTTCAAATGTCACACATGGCTGGTTTCTCTGGCGATCATGTCTCTTCTTCTGACTTAAGTATGTCAATTTATATACTTTTGACAAGAGGCTCTAGACTTACTGGTATGACTTTCCATGGGTGACTTTTGTTGGATTTTGCAATTAATTTCAATTATTTCCAAATTTATTTCCAAGTTATAAAAATTGTTATCATACAAAAACTTTGTTGCAAAAAATCCTGTAAAAAAATCATTGAAAGCAATTGCAGTGATGAAAACTTAGGGATCCAAAATTTCAGGATTGTCGGTCCAGATTCCCTTTGGAATGTTTTTAATTTGCTCATGGAGTTGGCCTGATTCCAAAATGGTATGATATGTTGGTCTACGACCTCTAGGAGTAAAGTTGAAAAAGTCTGACACAGTGACACACTGACATTCACATTTATTATGTAGATATGAATATTGTGTGTTTGGGCAGCATCCTTTCTTTTATACATGTTTCACTGAATGTGACAGGCAAGGAAAATCTTATAAGTTTTTTTATTAAGTTTTTATAATATTCGTACAGTTTTCTTTTTGGAAGGACTAAGGGTGTTCAGAAACTGTTCTTAATGAATATTGTCCTAAGTGCTTTTGGCCAATTCCTCAGCAATTTTCAAGGGGTTCGTTCTTTTCATATTTTTACAATGTTTGTGCTATAACGTGTATGTGTAGAAGTAGTAGTAATCTTGGGCTGTGCAAGAGGCTGTGGCATGACTTTGTATTGTGGAGGGGGATCTATCAGACCTTTTTATATCAAACAATTCAAGCCAAGCATCAACCTTGCTTTATTAACCGACAGTTCAAATATATTGGGGGTTATTTAAGACCACACCCCAACATAAAGTCATGGTCACACTCTTTTGCACAGACCAAGATTATTAATTATTCCTCACACATTAATATATAACATAATAATGTATTAATTTGTTCCAGCATGGGGAATATTATGTTAATCAAATATAATTTTCTATGACCTTCTTTCCCAAATGGGACCTGACATCCCGAAAGCAAATTGTTATCAAGATTTTTAATAAGGATTGATTGATTTTTTTTTTACTTACCAAGTTTTTGTTATGCCAAAATATATTTTGGATTGTATGAACAATTCTTTTTTTTTCAAATGGATATTACATTGACAATTTTTTGAGAATAAAAATGATTTTACCAGATACAAGTCCTACTATTTAATCCATAGCTGGGGGATTAGAATAGATTCATATCTTTTTAAAGGGTATTTGTGCATAAGTGAAATGTAATGAACCGAACTGGAACTTGAACTCAGCTCTCTGATTTCTCATTCCATTACACCACCTACACACCCTCTTTTAATAAAAAATATACAGGGTAAATTATCGTCATTTTATATTTTTAATTTTGTGTATGTGCATTGTTTGTTTTTGATTTTGTTGACTGCACAGTATAGTAGGGTGCACCATGATGCAATTCACTCCATCAGAAATTTGGAAACAACATGCTGTACTGCTTGGCATTCACACCGGAAGCTTCAATATGAACATTTCAGAGTCTAGGGGCATCAATCTGAGGATTCAGAAAGAGTTTGATGATATATCCAGTCAACATCATGGTGTTTCGAGTGATCACTAGTGATGGCGATGTTAGGCTTGACCTTCCTACAGGGCCTCAGACTCAACACAGAGGCCTACGTCATGTGCCTTGAGGAGGTAATTCTGCCCTGAGTTCTGGCCACAGGACTCTGCAGCATGCCCCACAAGCAGGAGGACCCAGTCATGGTTGTCAGACAATTTCTGGCCACCTAACTCCCCAGACTGCAACCCCCTTGATTATTATGTGTCGGGTGCAGTTGAATGAGAGACCAACAAAACTCCTTGTAACACCAAAGATGAATGAAGGCAAGGATTATGACAGCATTCACCAAATTAAATAAGGAGACTGTCTAAAAGAGTTGCAGGAGATTCTTAAGTTGTCTGGAGGCCATGGTTGAAGCCAATGGCGATTTTATTGAATAAATTTACTCTTTAGTATTTGAAGATATTTTTATGTAATTTTGGTAAATATATCTGTTAAAATGAGATGTCAGTGTTATTTTCATTTTTATGTAATTTACATGACAATTTATCCATCGCACCATATATATATATATATATATATATATATATATAAAATTAATATTGTACTGAAGTGAAATTAAATTTGGCCTAATTACAATTCACTGAATTTAGTTTCCTAAACAAAAAGTCCAGAAAAATATGAAAAATTCATCAACTATTAAAGAAACTGATAATAATATTAACTATTACCGTTATAGTGTCATATAGGGTTGGTCAAAAGTTTGTTCAGCTTATTACATAAATTTTCTATTTAATAAGTGTATAGGAAAGAAACGCTATTTCCAACACAATTACTTACCCACATACATACCATATTAAAACATCTTAAACTGCATTTTCTACTCAATAACAGACAATATTTACAAACAGGCCAAAAAGATTCCATAATACAACTCATGCCGTTTAAATCAAAGTGCCTGTTGGTTAGAAATTAGCATCATGTGAAATATTTGACCAATCAAAGAAAACTAAAACCCTATTTTTCTAGAGCCTATTTTTAGGAAGAATTTCTTACAAAAATCCAGAGATTTCAGTTTTCAAGAGCAGAGATGTGGCTGTCTCCAAGCCAGTCAAACATAAGAGAAGATGTGGCTACGTAGCTTTTTCTTTCCCCCCAGTGCATACTGAAAGAAACATGTGTCGATGACTTCAAACAAATCATCTCCAGCAACAACAACTGAGACGGTCAGGGAATCTTTGCTGTTGATCAAATACTTTTCTCAACGACAGTTTTTTTCTGTGTACCAAAGACTTTAATTCAAGTATGAACTATTTTTACTTGTCTTTGACTCATTTGAATTCATGTACATATGTTTGTAAATACAAATGATTTCTTTAACAAGCATAATCATATTTTTATTTTTATTTTATTATTGTTTGGAATCTGGAAGTTCTGATTTTTGATGTAAAAAAACCTGAATGACTGAATTTCTTACGAGGGAACAAACTTTTTGGCCAACTCATTACAAGCAAGAGCATTGATATGACGATTGTCTACAGAATCTGATGCTAGAATGAGATTATGGAGAATTTTATTGAGAACTTGGTCAGTCAGTTTTATGGTAATTAATTTCAAGATTGGAATATTGAAAAGAAAGAATGAAAGATATTAATTTTATCATTGTTGTTAAGGAAATTTTATCGCTAGCTGTTTTGTGTAAAAACGGTAGTAAGTGGATGATAAATCACTATTGCTTTCCTAAACAGTTTAGTAAATGGCAGTTAAGCCTTAAATTTATTGATCTTAATATTTATATTTGAATTTCATTTCTTGTAATCAAATGAATAATTGATTTATCTACCACAGTGAAAAGATAATTGCTATGAATGAATACTAAGGTAATTTTGCCAACCATTTGATATAGTGACAAAAAGTTAATCTATGTAATGCATATGAAGTATTGAGGGATAATGATGAGGAAAACATGCTATATTTAACGAAACAAGGAATTTATTTACAAGTTTACACATTTCAAGTTATCAGTAACTTGTTTCAAGAAAAGGTATCAAATATTTAAAGTTTGTAGTTTCAATGAATTGTCAAGAAGAGAAAATATTCATATTAAATCATTGGACACAAAGTAATATTCCAAAACATTTAAAACAATTTGAGAGAGTTTGTTTTTCCCATAAAAGTTGTATTCAACATGAATGACAAGATATATTTTAAGGTACTGTTATAGACAAGCGTAT